GGAAGGAGGGAAGGAGGGAAAGAAAAGAGATAAGTGAAAGGAACATAATTTTTTCTACAAAATTGAAACTAGGAATCTTACCTCTTTGATTTCCTGGGGCCAAGACCAACAGCTCTGTTAAAAGATATCATTAAAAGAAATTCAATGAAACGGGTTGAAAACTTACTACAATACACTTTCTTGCGCGATTATCATCTGCTGCCGTGCGCATGCGTTAAAATARTAATAGTAATATACTGATTTCGTACAATCTCGTACCCAGAGCCTGCGTTTCTTCTGTCCTGCGGCGAAGAACGAGGGCTCTGGCATAATCCATTTTTTGAGACCAGGATTTCTTGGACTTCCGGTATAAGAGCGCATGCGTTAAAATACTTATGCAAAAATAAATATGTTCCCGATCTCTAATTCTTATTTTGATCGGAAGTAAACACAGAACTCTATTATATTTCACTTCCGGAAAATTTCGCATGCGTCAAAAAATGGATTATGCCAGAGCCTCGTTCTTCGCCGCAGGACAGAAGAAACGCAGGCTCTGGGTACGAGATTGGATTTCGTACTGAATCATTAGTAGACTCGCTATGCATTTATCATTTATGTGTCATGCAAAAATGTATCGTGACCAACGATATTGCGTTACCAGTCACTTACCGACTTCATATCGACCCATTTATTAAAAGCAGTAGAGTAGCTCGCCTTGTCCCCGTCGTACGTACAGCACTGCTTCTGTGCGATCTCTTTTAAGTTTGTGTCGCTTGACGAGGGACTGGACGCAGAACTCCTGACATGTTTTTCGTACTCGTTCTTGATAAGGTTTTTCAACGCGATGGCCAGGCGTCGCTTTTCCTCGATTCTATTGCTTACGAATGTCGCTAGTTTGGCCAYTGATTTCGACGGGTTGAGACGAATGTCCTTTTTAGCTATACAGAAAAAAGGTTCGTTATGACTTGAGACGATGCTCCACTCATACTTTATCCATTTCTACGTTTCCTTGGAACTCCACCTTCCCATCCCTCCTGACCATCACTGTTACTTTCTCTGTACTCCACCCTCCCCTCCCTTCTTACCATATCTCTTACTTTCTCTGTACTCCACCCTCCCCTCCCTTCTTACCATCACTGTTGCTTTCTCTGTACTCCACCCTCCCCTCCCTCCTTAAAATCACTCTTACTTTCTCTGTACTACACCCTCCTCTTCCTCCTTACTATCACTGTTACTTTCTCTGTACTCCACCGTCCCCTCCCTACTTACCATCACTGTTACTTTCTCTGTACTCCACCCTCCCCTCCCTCCCTAAAATCACTCTTACTTTTTCTGTACTACATCCTCCCCTTCCTCCTTACCATCACTGTTGCTTTCTCTTTTCTCCACCCTCCCCTCCCTCCTTACCAGCATTGTTGTATATTTCTTCCATCTCCTTTATACACAGTTTCTCTATGTTCAGCTTCACGGCTTCATCTGAGAGTCTCGTAGCAGCCTGGATGACGTCATTTCCGGTGATAAAGGCCCGCCCAGTGCAGTTACAATTTGGATTCGCCAGTCCATGGTCTGTCAGAGTGGGTGCTGTGTTGGTAAACCTGCCTGCATGAATCTTGAACTTGGCAGTTGAAGCATCGAATGTGAGGACGTTCCAGTAACGCGAGCAGTTGAACTTTGAGAAGCCACTACCGGCTGAGGATAAATAATGACAAGGACTTGGTGGCCATGTCGATACAATAACGCAATTCACAGTTTACCGTTAGGTGATAGAGCGATCGGTTTTCATACAAGTGGAAAACCGACGCATTGTGATGGGATGAATTACTAGAACGTAATGGCATGTCGTACCGTGTGCGTGCTGTAAGTCAGTACCGTACGTTTCCCACTCATACGATAACCATTCTTATGGGAAGCCATTTCAATGTTACGGCATGTCGTACCGTGTACGTGTTGTAAGTCAGTACCGTATGTTTCCCACTCATATCATAACCATTCTTATGGTAAGCCATTTCAATGTTATGGCATGTCGTACCGTGTGCGTGCTGTAAGTCAGTACCGTATGTTTCCCACTTATACGATAACCATTCTTATGGGAAGCCATTTCAATGTTACGGCATGTCGTACCGTGTACGTGTTGTAAGTCAGTACCGTATGTTTCCCACTCATATCATAAYCATTCTTATGGGAAGCCATTTCAATGTTATGGCATGTCGTACCGTGTACGTGTTGTTAGTCAGTACCGTATGTTTCCCACTCATATCATAACCATTCTTATGGGAAGCCATTTCAATGTTATGGCATGTCGTACCATGTACGTGTTGTAAGTCAGTACCGTATGTTTCGCACTCATACGATAACCATTCTTATGGGAAGCCATTTCAATGTTACGGCATGTCTTAACGTGTACCTACTGTAAGTCAGTACCGTATGTTTCCCACTTATACGATAACCATTCTTATGGGAAGCCATTTCAATGTTACGGCATGTTGTACTGTGTACATGCTGTAAGTCAGTACCGTATGTTTCCCACTCATACCATAACCATTTTTATGGGAAGTCATTTCAATGTTATGGCATATCGTACCGTGTACGTACTGTAAGTCAGTAACACATGTGAGTAATAAATAGTAGATACCATTGTTCCCTGTACAATGTACTTACATTCACTGCACTTAGGCTGATTTATATTGTAGAGCAGTCCTCCAGTAGATGCTTGATAAACCTTGACGTTGGCTCGAATCTTATCCCAACAGACTCCATTCGTGTATATGTGCACGTAGTAGCTAAACGAGCCCGACTCCACCCCCCTCAGGGTAATTGTCTCCGGTCCATACATGTCAGTAGCGTCGACATCTAGTCCTATTGACTCTGAACCATGATTGCACTTTCTTTCGTTGTAAAATACCTTAAATCGTAAAAATGAAGGAGTTATGGGATGCCTCAGGGCTTGATACTTGGACCCCTGAAGCAATTGCCAAACCTAAGGCTACAGGTTAAATAATGTCGAATTATGGTGTGCTTCATTGATTTATTACCTCATTGAAGGAATTGCTAGAATCGTGCCTACAATTTCAATTCCATTGAATAACGGCGTACCGCCGAGAACCATAATAGACCCGTTTCGAATTCCAAATTACCGCTGTGTTTCTTGATTACAGACTCATTTGCACAGGGTTATCCTCGAGTTTGTGCAGAATATTCACGTGTTCCAGTCAAGGTCCGTCGAGTTTCAAAGTGTTTGTATTGTTGAAGTTGTACATTCTTTACTTAACCGTTGGTATTTGTGAATATTTAAACACTGATACGAGGCTAACCCTGTGCAAATGAGTCTGTAATGAAGGAACACAGCGGTAATTTGGAATTCGAAACTGGTCTATTGGTCTTCACACTATTTCTTTATTAAGTCGCACTACGCCTTAATAAATGAGCATACTCCAAGCTATGGCGTGCCTCAGAGATCAACCATTGATCCCTTAAGGATTTGTCCTTTACGCACAAGAGCATTCGTGAAAATTGGTATGCCTTAGAGACCACCTTTTGGGCTTTTTAGAAGTTCTTAATTTTGAATCGATCAAACTAACTAAAGCCGGTGTAAATATAGGAGGGGAGGAGAAAGGCATGATAGGGAGGACGATAACCGGCAGACTAGGGGGAGGGCGGAGCAGGAGAGGACATGGATGAAGGGGGAGGGCAGGACAGCAGGGGGCAGGCAAAAGGAGAGCAGTCTAGGTGAGGAGAGGATATAGCAGGAACGGGCAATGAAGGAGAAGCCAAGAGAGGAGAGGAGGGTGGAGACCAGGGAAAAGTACCACAGGCTAGGAGAGAGATTTCCATTTCCTTACCCTTCCGTGCTTGCACTTGCTACTAGTCGGCCACGGAGTCAGAATGTAGGAATCCAAATCTCTCGGAACTTTTCCCCAAGTCAGTACGATTCTGTACATGTCGACGTTCCCTCGCAACGACAGTTTAGGAGAGATGACCAAGTCTAGAGGGATCATCTTTGACTCCTCTGAATCGGGAGCTATTGTAAGATATTCACTTAGGGTATAGTAGCCGATTCTTGATGCGCGGACCTGAAGGTAACACAACACATATATCACACAATACGTCGCTGGTCACGCAATACCGTCCAGACCAAATGTCAAAAAATACAAAATGTGTCATGAAATACCGTCAAGGCCAAATATCACACACTTCGTAACCTATTATGCAATAATATCGAGGTCAAATGTCACATAGTTCGTCATTTGTAACGCAATACTGTCCAGGCCACATGATTCGTCTTTTTGTCATTGGACCATCCAAATAGTCCCGATCTCGTACTGACTGTCACACAACACGATTTGTCAAGATGTCACACAAGTAATAAATGTCACGCACTTACTCGGTAGTTCCCCGGTTGTACTTTCTCAATCACTGCTACGCCGTATGAGTTAGACAAGCTTTTTGCTGTTTTTAAGAAGATTCCAGCATTGGACAATAGGTTACACTCGGCACCGGCGACCCGATGACTGCRAAGCGCGTCCCTCACCTGGAAATCGGATAAGAGTATGATACTAATGATAATGACTGATGACGATAGTTATATTGATGCAGGGAGGTGTGGGGATGATGAAGATTTTGAGTGATCATAATATGATTGATGGTGATAATGATGGTGATGATGATGACTAGGATGGTGATATTGATGATTATGATGATGGTTATATTGATGATGATTGTGAACTTGATGATGGTTTGGTGATGATGGTGACGTGTGGTGATGATGGTGATGATGGTGACGTGTGGTGATGATGGTGTGGTGATGGTGTGGTGATGATGGTGACGTGTGGTGATGATGTAGTGGTGATGGTGTGGTGATGATGGTGTGGTGATGGTGTGGTGATGATGGTGATAATGATGATAGTGATGATGATATATGTTGCTAACAGGTCATTTGATGAAAGAAATTCATCATTAATATAGATCATAGTCGTAAAATCAAGCATGGAGAATCAATGTTGGCGAAACCGGACTACACTCGCCTCACCTCTGGGGTCTCGGGTTTGATTCCAGTTTTGACATCACACAATGTGCCGAGTAGAGCTTGTGAGGTATCTCCCCTTGATTCGGGTTCTTTATTTATCATATAATAATCTTTATTCAATTTATCAACAAATAATTTCAAAATCTAAAAATAATCCCTTAATAAATTCCAAGTTAAAAATAGATAAAGTTAAATAAAGACAGGGCTGACGGAGAATAAGCTATTTATTCTGGCTACTTGTTCGGGTTCTTTGGTTTTCTCCCTTCCAAAAACCCAAGCCACGCATTTCCAATTTGATCTGTGAGTTACGCGCGCCCCGACTTAGATCAGCCTAGATGTGATTTCAGGGTATCGATAGTATTTAAAGCATTTTTTGTAGAGACTTTTGAATTAAAATCAACAAAGTCTAGCCTCAATTACCAGCTTTCCTTCTGTCTATTTGACTAATTAACGTGAATTTTTGATTTAGTTATTAAAAAAGTGGTGTCGTGCAGGTGAAAGGTTTACCTAGCCTGTCTTTTCGAGAAAATGGTACACAAGTCACTATCTGGAAATGGTTAAGTTGGYGTTTTAATATTTAAACGGATTAAATGATTTAAATCTCGTTTTTGAAAACGCATAACTGTGTGAATAAAGGATTCTCAATCTCTTTTTTTTTCACTCAAAAAGAATATRGAAACAATGCGAGAAATATTTGATTTCTTGCTTAATGAATCAAAAAAAATGCAGACGCAAAACTGATGACAAAATTCCAAACAGAAATCACAGAAAGTTTGAATAAAATCACTAAAGAAAAAGAAAGATTTGAATGACAAAAAGGCCTGAAGTTTAGTCCCCCTGCGAAGCAAAAAGAAATATTCAACTTACCTGGCATAACACAGATACTGCATGCACTTTATTCGCCAGTAAGATAAGTACCAGCGAAGCCAAGATATCATAAGCCGAAACCATTTCGAGTTCAAATTTGAACTTCAGCACCAATAGAAGCGAAAAAGAACTAAATTCAAATTAACTAAATTCTATAATTTAGGTGAATGTTAAACGTTGCCGTCAGATTTATAATCTAAAGCAAACGCTTCTTCATATTATTTGAATTTTTCATTAACGTAACACTTAGTCAAACAATGGCTAAAATCCCTCAATGTTTTGGAAATTAATTTTTTAACCAATGAGAGAAAAATATTACTTCAAATCAATTGTTTAAGTTCTTCGAAGACAAAGGGATATGCATTGTTCTTGTATATACAATACCCACACTTATTAACCAACAAACCAAAGCTTCAGACCGGAAAGGATTCTGAATTAATGAACTCTAGACTTTATCATCAATTCAAAACAAGATTTTCCAGTAAAAAAAAATCTAGATCTAACTTTCAGAAAATCTAAAAATCTAACTTTGTTTTCCAAACAAAACAAATTTTTAAAAGAAGATAATATATAGGTAAGTTGTAGTGCTAGGGAACGAGGTTATTCCGGGCGAAAACCCTTGGAATTAAATTCGGAAAAATTAATTTCCGACCTCG